AAGAAAGGACTTGTATCTTAGAAGAATTAACAAACAAACATACAGAGACGTAACACTATATATAACATATAATCTGAAATATAATGAGAAAAATTCAATCAATACTAGCGATCTGCTATACTATTACAAGTTTAATAATGTTGATTCTTTGCGAAGGCCACTGTAAAAGTCATCAAGTATCTCGAAAAAAACCTCAATTTTTTGATTATTTAAAAAAATAACATCAGCACCAGATTGAAGATCCACAGAAAATTTAATATTTGAGTAATTAAGTTTGTGGTAAGTTGACTGCTAATTTTATTTTTCCTTCAAACCTGTACCCCAGTGGGTCAGCAGTGAGTTGTAGGATTTATAACGTTGAAATCCGGGGTTTGATTTCCCGCAGTGGATAGAGTGCAGATAGCATTTGCACTTATCAAACTACAATAACAATCCTTCAAACTTAGCCAGAACGAGTTTGTTTGTTTGTTCCTGGCAAAGCCATCAATGGTATTTGTCGCCATCCCTAATTTTGAATTGCCGACCACAGGAAAGGCAACTGGATATGGCAGGATTGCCGTCACCTTAGAACGCTCCCACGGCTGAGAGGGCGAGCATGTTCGGCGCCAGATTTCGATCCCGCGATTACCATACATTGTAAATCGAGCACCCTACCCACCAGGCTACCAGAAGAAAAAAAAAAGAGCCAGCTTTGCATATACTTTTTTAATTCAATTAAATTATAATTGGAATTTATAATAGTGTAGCTAAGATAATCCAAGGTTTCTGTTATAAAATAATGTCAATCACCTCATCTCCCTCTCTGTGTATTGTTATGCAAATCTAAAACCTCCGCTATGTGAGTTGAAATGCAACTGATAGTTAATAAAGCTTACGTTAGCAAATCAACATTTGGTAGGGTGGCTTTACATATTCATACTTCATGATTTTTCATTTCATTTTACTGAACTCGGACAGCAAGGACAAAATAGCGTTGACGTTGCAGGATTAAAATCAGAATATTGATAACGACCTCAGGTATCCTCAAATACTCTTCTAAAAGTTATGTTTCCTGTGCATTTTTGTCCGGAGTCACCTGATAAGATGCAGTGTATCTTCTGATGAGATTGAATTTCGTGATCGTACTCTTTCCATGGAATGTGTCGAGCAGTTAAGCACGGGGATTTGGGGGTCGGGGCGTTATCATCCATTAATTTAAAGTTAAGGCCAATGTGGCACTTGTTACGTATTAGAATTAAAAATAGCCTGAAATTGAGTTAGCTGATAAATTTCAATTTAGCAGTTAAATTGTGCTTTGGATTTAGTAGTTAATTTAAAGCCGATATATATTCAGTTTATGATATTTGCCACCAAGATTGATACACGCAGTTTCTTTTTTAATACAAATATGATTAATATACAAACAACAATACAATTTACAATAACAGTTATTACAAACAATTATTTATAGACAAAAGTTTCACACACTTACAAGCAATATAAAGTATTCTTTCTAGCCTGGAACTTCTTCGATATCTTATCGAGGGTTCACTATGAACGAGTTAATTACGAGTTGACGTAGGTGCAATTCGCTTAACGGGAAGCTAGTTAGCTTTGTCCTTCGTTATTCACCAGCCACACACGCCGAGTTTTCTACCGTTGAAGTTAGGTAATGTTTTCGTAAAAGTACTAATGTCCGATGATAATCCACCGAAGTTAAATGATTTGTAATGTTCGGACATTGTAAATTCTCCTGGTCAAATATCTGAAGTTTTCCGATTGATAACCGTTATAACAATCACAGTTATAGCTTCCGAAGCTTATAGCACACTGACTGTAGCGAACTAATAATAGGTACTCCTTTTTTTGGTCGCGTCGCGTTGGTTATATTTATAGGCGTGTGGAGGCTTTCTAGAAAATTGAGATTACGTAACAATACAAAGCTACATTTAAGCATTTATATAAATACACATATTGTTAATTCCTACTCTCGAGAATCTTCTACAACTTTGGAGAATAGGCGGGAGTTTCGCAATACATATTTAACAGTATAAGCTATGTATGTTTCTAAATATAAATTTAATCTAAACATTGATATTAAAATAAATATATAATAACAAATTCGTTAGACACTATATATGGTAGCACAAAGGATCGCATATGATGTGATGCCTAAAATGTGTTGTTTTAGTGGTACCACTCTACAAGATGTAGGGGTCGTTACGTTCAATAATGCTTATTCTTCTCAAATCATACCCCACCCACCACCATATGTATATATCACGTTTTTGTATGAAACTAGTTCTCATCCAGTAGACAGCTGTTATTGAAGTTGTGATAAAATATAACCTAACTAGATCACAATATAAAATTAACTATACATTAATGAAGCAAATCTTATCTAATAAATT